AAAGAGCACCGCCCTATGGAGCCAGACAGAATAACGACAACGGAGGGGCATCGGCATCGGCATCGTCGCGCCGTCTTCCCCTTTGGAGATGCCGCGGGAATGATCAAATCCTGCCCCCGCTGCTCCTCGTCCTCCTCCCCGCCCATCCCCCTTTCCTGCCCCCTGCAACTGGGCGGCCCTCGGGGGTGCTCACCGCGAAGCGAAAGCGGCGCAAGCGCGGGTCGGAACTGGACCGCCTCGACAAAATGCCTGGCCAGACTGCCCGACAAAGTGCCCGACAAAATGCCCGACAAACAGGGGCAAGCGCCGTAGCTGTGAATTTACCGTACATCCGCCCAGCCGCCGATGCCAAACATAATTTCGTCGCTGCACTTTTTTGGACATTTTGTCACGACGACCGGTTTTTTTGTCGGGCCAGTGCTTTTTTTTTTTGTCGGACCATTTTGTCGGGGCTTCTGTTTTTTTGGTCGGCCCATTTTGTCGGGGCCAATTTTTTTGGTCGGGCAAGTTTTTTGTCGGTCCACGTTGTTTTTTGTCAGCCCGCCTGCTTTCTTTTTGTCGTCGGCTCCTTGCGGGCGACGCCCCCGGCGCAAGGCGGGGGGAATAATGCGGACGGCGAGGAGGGGCAGGGGGGGCGCATGCGCACGGCGCAGGAGGAGCAGGAGGAGGAACGGAGGAACGGGAGGAGCAAACAGATTCCAAGAGAACCCGACAAAATCTCGCAGGCCCGAAAAAGGCCCCAACACCGCCCAAAAAGGCGCCTAAGAGCGCCCCAGAGGGCCCCAGGGGCCAAAGAGAACCCAAAAGGCCGATGTGGCCAGGCATCTCGATGCCAACGAGGGTGGCGGTCAGGGTTGTTGGTCGACGGAAACGCGGAAAACAACCATATTCATCACGCGAACCTGATATTACCACGAAGTCCGACCTTGGGGGACAAATGGGGGCTCCTGCGATGCGGGCTCAGCGCGCGACCGTGCGAGCCACTGTGGGGGGACGCGTGGCTTGCGAGCAAGTGAATTGCAAAGAAAAGCGTGCATGCGGACCACTAGTTTTGAAAGGTCCGTGCGTTGCAGGTGAGATGCCAAGACGGCACCCGACGTTGGTTCCCGCGTTGTCCGTTTGAGGTGGTGACGCTTTGTCGGGATGTCTCCAGACATCCTGGGGTCCTCTGGCGCAGTGTTGGGGCCCTCTTGAGAGTATCTGGGGGCCTCCTGGTCGTGGGATGAACGCTGGTGCCCGTGTTGTCCGTTTGGCGGCGTCTCCAACCATCTTGGGGCCCTCTTGGGCAGTCTTGGGGCCCTGTTGGAGACGGCTGGGGGTTCCCCGGAGGCTTGTTCCAGGCTCGTTGGGGTCTCTTGAAAGCCCATCGGGGGTCTCCTGGTGGCCGGTTGGGGCCTCCTGCGTCTTTTTTGGGCTGGAGAACCCAAAATCTAGGTCCCTGCCGCCTCTCTGAAATGTTCCTAAGCATTCCAGAAGCTTTCGGAGGCCGTCTTGGAGGCCTCTGGGGCCGTCTCGAGAGCGCGTCGGATTGGTCTGGGCGCTCTCTTGGGGCCCTCTCAGGCCGTCTTGGGGCGGTCTTCGGAGCTTCTTGCGCCGCCCCGGAGCGTCGGGGAGCCGAGGGCGCCGAAACCTGAAACACATTTGTAAAACCAGCGAAAGCCAATACATTTTGACACGCGGGGCTTTCCGGGAGGGCTTCTCGGAGGCCCCCCGAGGCGCCCGGGGAGCGCCGAGGGCCGTCTGGACGCGATGTTGAGGGCCTCCAGGGGGCCTTGCGGGGCCTCCATGTTTTTTTTTTTTGCGCGGTGAGCTTGAGATGTAGGTTCCTGCCCTTCTTCTGGAAGTTTTCTGGGGGCGTTCCTGGAGCCTTCGGAGGCCGTTTTGGAAGCGTTTTGGGTCGTTTTGAGTGTTGGACTGTCTGAGCGCTTTGTTGGAGGCCTCTTAGGCCGTCTTGGGGCGGTCTTTGGGTCTTTTTGGGTTTTTTTGGAGCGTCGGCAAGCCGAAGACGCGGGAATCCGAGAAACTCTCAAAAACCCAGCGACAACCAATGCACGTTGACACTGGGGCTCTCCGGGAGGCCCTCTCGGAGGCCTCCCGAGGCGTCCTGGGAGCTCCCTGGGCCGTCTGGACGCGATGTTCGGTGCCTGCTGGAGGCCGCGTGGGGCCTCCGGGGGGCTTTTTGGGCGGTGAGCTTGAAATGCCGTTTGCTGCATCTACTCTGGAGGTCTTTTTTGGCCATTCCTGGAGCCTTCGGAGGCCGTCGTGGGGGCCTCTTGGGCCGTCATGAAGGCGTCTTGGACTGCCTGGCCGCCTTCTCGGGGGCCTCTGAGGCCGTCTTTGGGAGGTTTTGGTGCCCTCTTGGGCTGTCTTGGTGCGTCGGCAAGCCGAAGACGCGGAAACCAGAAAAACTTCAAAAAAAACAAAAGGAAGCCCGAAGCGTCCTGTTAGCTCGCTGGGCCACCCGGGTGCGATCTTGGACGGCCTGGATCGACCTGATGGCGACTCGCGGCCCTCTCGGAACATTTTGCCGACCATCTTGGGGCCGCCCGTGCCGCGCGGAAGCGTGTCTGCCGAAATGGGGCCGTCTTCCGCCTGCTTCCGCCGGCGCCCCTCTTGTGGCCGGGAGGGGGCACCAGGCCCCCCCCCCGAGACGGCCTTCGAGGGCTCCAGGAAGTCCCCCAGAAAGCTTCTAGAAGAAGGGCAGGAACCTACATCTCAAGCTCACCGCGCACAAGGGCCCCCCCCGAGGCCCCGCCAGGCCCCCTGGAGGCCCCAAACATCGCGCGCAGACGGCCCTCGGCGCTCCCAGGACGCCTCGGGAGGCCTCCGAGAGGCCCTCCCAGAGAGCCCCACGTGTCAAAATGTATTGATTTTCGCTGGTTTTCTAAATGTCTTTCGAGTTTCGGCGCCCTCGGCCCCCCGACGTTCCGGGGCGGCGCAAGAGGTCCCGAAGACCGCCCCAAGACGTCCCGAGAGGCCCCCAAGAGAGCGCCCAGACCAGTCCAACACGCTCTCGAGACGGCCTCAGGCCCCAACCGGCCCCCATGAGAACCCCGAGAGGCCTTCAAAAGACCCCAGCGAGCCGGCCTGGAACAGGCCTCCGGGAAGCCCCCAGCCGTCCCCAACAGGGCCCCAAGATTGCCCAAGAGGGCCCCGATGGTTGGAGACGCCGCCAAACGGACAACACGGGAACCAGCGTTCAGCCCACGACCAGGAGGCCCCCAGATTCCCTCAAGAGGGCCCCAACACTGCGCCAGAGGACCCCAGGATGTTTGGAGACATCCCGACAAAGCGTCACCACCTCAAACGGACAACGCGGGAGCCAACGTCAGGTGCCATCTTGGCATCTCACCTGCAACGCACGGACCTTTCAAAACTAGTGGTCCGCATGCACGCTTTTCTTTGCAGTTCACTTGCTCGCAAGCCACGCGCCCCCCCACAGTGGCTCGCATGGTCGCGTGCTGAGCCCGCATCGCAGGAGCCCCCATTTGTCCTCCAAGGTCGGGCTTCGTGGTAATATCAGGTGTTTGTTTCGGCCTAGCGCTTGTTTGCGCGATCTTCAGCGGTCTGCGAAGGTACGCTTGCCTTGATTGCCGCCGTCGCATTGCTATTTGCCCGGACTTTTGTTTTAATGTTTCGCCCTTGCGAATTGCATTGCTTTTCCTGGTCGTGTTCGCGTCGTCGTTCTTCGCGGTCGACTTGTTTTCGATTTCGTTCGTGCCAACCGTGCTGCTCGCACATTTCTCGGAGTGGCCTACTTGGGCATGAAGCATCGCGCGGGCTCGCATGCTTTCGCAATTAGATAGTTGCGCCTCTACCAACGCTACGCCATTCATTTCTAGTTGAAATCGTTTATTATTGGATTGGCGTTTTGTCGCCGAACGCTTCGCCAGTAGAATGTCGCCACTGATTTCCTATAATTTACTTTCCGGTGAAAAAAATCGGCGCCCGCGGCGGGCTTGCCATCTTCACGCTTGTTGCAGCTTCAGTTTTTAATCGGTGCCTGCGGCGGGCTTGCAATCATAATTCGTTTCCTGATCATAAGATCGGCGCCTGCGGCAAGCTTGCCATCATCACGCCGGTTTTGGCTTCAATGCAGAATCGGTGCTTGCGGCAGGCTTGCAAACAGTATCCGTTTTCTTCTTCTAAAGAAATAGCGTCGTTTGCGGGCTTGCGATATCAATGCAGATTTTTGCTGCGATTCAAAATCGGCGCCTGCGGCGGGCCTGCGATAAGACCACAGCGATCCCCGCCAAGCCCAACTCAGCGCCTTCACTCCTTTCCGCATCAGCGGGGGTGGGGGCTGGTGCTCGTGGATGCAGCAAGCCTGCTGCGGCAGGGTTTCCACTCGTGGGGGATGCTCGAAAAATGTCCACCCCCCTCCTCCTCCTCCTCCTCGTCCTCGTCCTGCTCCTCCTCCTCCTCATCCCCCTCCTCTTTTCTTCCCCCTCCTCCTTCTCCTCCTCCTCTTCCTCCTTCTCCTCCTCCCTTTACCCCTTCTCGTGTTCGTCGCCGTGGTCATCCTCGTCCAACTCCTCGTGTTCCTCCTCGCCCTCCTCTATCAACTTCTTCCTCCTTCTCCTCCTCCTCGTCCATATCCTTCCCCTCCTTCTCCTCCTCCTCCTCCTTCTGCTTCCTTTGTTTCAATGTGATTCGCCATGCGATGTCACGCAACCTCTCCGGCTGGAACTCACTTTCTCCTGACAGTTGCGCTGTTGCAGTTTATTTCCCTTCTCTCTGCTTTGCCGTCGCGTCGCCGCCGCCGCTGCCGTTGCATTCGGGGCCTTGTATATTTTTGTTATTTCTGTAAGAACATACGGCAGCGGCTTAATTTTGACTTATTTCACATCGCTTATTTATTACATTTTTCATGTAATTAAATTGTTTCCTGGATTCAGGGGCTGTCCATTAGTAGCTGCCTTGCAAGGCTCGCACGGCTGGCCGCGCAATTGGGGGCCGCATCGGGGGCGCGCAGCCAGGGCCTACGAGCGCCTAGCGAGGCCAGTGCGGCGGACCCGCGCCAGCAGGAGTGCAGCCGCGCCGAGGCGGCCCGCCTCGGAAGCCAGCGGCCCCGCAACCTCGGGAGAGCGCTGGCCCCACCGGCGCCAGGCCAGGCCGCAGGGGCAGCCCTGGCGGCGTTGCTCCAGGAGGTCCGCCTTGCCCCGCATGGGCGCAAGGGAGCCAGGGGAGCGCTGTACCTGCAGGGCGACCCCGGCACGGAGCCAGGCACGCTGCATGAGCGGCGGTGGATGGCGGGCCTGCTGCAGTCGGGCGAGCGGCCGCTCAGGATGGAGGCTCATGAGCTGGAGAAGGCAGAGGACAGGCACGCCATTGCCGCCAGGCGGAAGCGCTGTGCTTCGGCCGTCGACGCGGAGCGGCAGACCCTGGCACGGTTCGGCTGGCACTTCAAGTCGAAGCAGTACCTGGCCGCGGACCTCGGCGGCGAGTTCGATCCCATGTTCCTCGGGCCCAGGGCGCTAGGCATTGAGGTTGGCCTGGGAGCTCGGCAGGCTTTCGATCGCAATGTGATGCCGAAGCTCAGCCGCGACCCCCCCTTGCATCGACCGCTGCTCGCGGGCGCCATCGGACAGCTGCTCGGGCCAGGAAACGAGCTGAGTGTGAGGGGGCGGCTCGCGGGAGGCGCCTACTTCTCCAACGCGCACCCTAATGGGAGTAGGTGGAGCGTTTGCAGGCCAGCTGTCGGCGGGCTCTACGGCAAGCTGGACCTCGTGGACGGCGCCGACAGGCGGGACCTCCGCCCGCAGCAGACGGCCAAGAACTGCGAGGACTCCACTGGCGGGACCCCCGTCAACTATGCGGGGCCTACGGGGGAGAAGGTCAACACCGACTGCGGCACCGCCACGGCCTGCCTGTGGAGGGCGAGCGGGCGCCCCTGCGCCCAGCAGGACCAACGCCCACCTGTGGAGCAGGATCGCGGCGGCCTTCGAGCCAGGTGTGTTCGTGACGAAGAAGGGGCCAACATGCTGCTTGAGGCAGGTATTCCCTTACGAGCTCCTGACGGAGACTGAGAAGCGCGGCAGCGAGCGCGCAGACCGCCTAGCCAAGTCGGGGCGCCAGCTGCACGCAGTGGACAGGCAGAAAGTAGGCGAGCACCACGCACTGGCAGCGTTGGTGTGTGAACTAGGACGCCGGGTCAGTCAGGCCGCCTTCGTCGAGCGAGGCATCGAGGCCAAGGAGGGCGAAGGGCTCCCTCCTGCTGCTGAGCGGCGCCAGATGCGTTCCGTGGCCGTCGAGGCGCCCCTGGCCGCAGTGGAGCCCGTTGGCGCGGGGGCTCTGGCCAAGCGGCCACGCCTGGAGAGCGCCCGCCCGGGGAGCTGCAGTTCGCCCGCCCCCTCGGCCAGCGCCGTCGCCTTCAGCGTCCTGGAGCACGCCCTGTCCTATGCCAGTGCTTGGGAATGCGAGGACACCCAGGGGGTCGTCGCTTGCTCCAAGTGCGACGCCCACGAAGTGTCAGGCGGCCGCTCGGGGGTGAGGCCCCGCCTCAAAGAGCGGCGCCCAGGCGACAAGACGGACAAGTCAAGCGGGGACCAGCGCAGCCTGCAGCGGCGGGGGCCCCATCCTGGTGGCAGGTCTCGAGCTGCCAGGCAGAGAGTGAAGGGAGGTGGCATCCCTGAGCCGCGTTCGCAAGGGCCAGTGCCAGGTCATACCCAGGAGCGATACCTGGAGTGGCGCGACATCGCAGCGGAGCCTGCAGTGCGCGGCCCGTCCGCTGCGAGCTGTGCAGGCAATGCTCCAGCGGCTGCCGCAACGCTTGTGGCCGCCTCGCGCAGCCTGAGCGAGGCCTCTGCGGCTGCGGCCGCTGCGCCGAGGCGCCGCCGTCTGGCGCCGCCGTCTGGCGCGCCGAGGCGCAGTCCGTGAGTGAGAGGAAGATATGCATCCGTGAGGCCCATGCTCGTTGCTCTGTGGTGAGTAGGCTTTCGTGACCTTCGGGGCTTGATGGGACTCGGCGTCTTTCGGGAACGTGGGTCCCGACTGGCCTTGTCCGCGTGTTGTTCTGGACATCGCCTTGCCTTGAAGGCCTCGTCTTTAAGTTTAACTTTAACACATTGGAGCATGCCAGAACATTCAAAAACACACATAGGAGCATTGCAGAAGAATCACCGAGAAGTTCGACAGGAGCTCGGAGCGTCTCGCGCCGCCGCGCTGGCGTCGCGCGGCAAGGCGCTCCGAGCCTCGCCCCGTGCACGCCGGCGATTACGTGATCGGCTGGGGGCGCATTGCCCCAGCATGGGAGAGGCGTTGGCAGCGGCCAGGCTCCTCCAGTTGCCACGCGACGAGCTTCTGGAGATCGAGGGCGCGCTGCACTTCGGCGACCGCGCCCGGCACGCGCCCCCCCTGGAGGCTGCAGGAGGCGCCCCGCAGTTGCCTGACGGCTTGCCGTTGCAAGCGCAGGCCTTCGAGTGCGTCATCGCGGGCCACAGCACGTTGCTGCGTGCCGAGGCGCCCGCCTTTGCCCCCAGCTGCGCAGGCGAGGTGGCAGCCAGGGCGCGGGAGTCCGCCCTGTTGGCAGCGCTCGAGGTGGCCCAGGTGCCTGGTGAGAGGGGCATCGATGAGGTGAAGAAGGCCGTCGACCAGGTGCTCGGCAAGAAGGTGTTCATCGAGTCGCCCTGCACGCAGAAGGGCGAGACGTTCGAGGAGCAGGTGCTGGACGTCACCGGCGACGACGTGGGCGTCGACCAGGTGCTCGGCGTTAATGCGTTCATCGAGCCGCTCTTCACGCAGGAGGGCGGGGCGCTCGAGGAGCAGTCGATGGACGTCATCCGCAACGACGCGGGCGTCGACCAGGTGCTCGGCGAGGACGCGTTCATCGAGCCGCTCTTCACGCAGAAGGGCGAGACGTCCGAGGAGCAGGTGCTGGACATCATCCGCGTCGAGGTTGGCGTCGACCAGGTGCTCCGCGAGGATGCGCTCGTCGAGCCGCTCTTCGCGCAGAAGGGCGAGGTGTTCGAGGAGCAGGTGCTGGACGTCATCAGCAACGACGCGGGCGTCGACCAGGTGCTCGGCGAGAACGCGTCTATCGAGGCGCTCTTTACGCAGAAGGGCGAGACGGCGCTGGACGTCATCAGCGACGACGTGGGCGTGGACCAGAGGCTCGGCGAGTACGCGTTCATCGAGCCGCTCTGCACGCAGAAGGGCGAGACGGTGCTGGGCGCCATCAGCGACGACGGGGGCGTCGACCAGGTGCTCGGCGAGAATGCGTTCATCGAGCCGCTCTTCACGCAGAAGGGCGAGACGTTCGAGGAGCAGGTGCTGGCGCCGCCGACCGCTGCCGCCGCCCCCGTCTCGGAGCAGGGAGCGGCGCTGCGCGACGGGCGCGCTGGAGACGGACCAGCCCACCCCGAAGCAGCAGAGGCTCAGGGGCCACTCGGGCTCGGAGTGCGGGTTCGTTTCGTTCCTGGACGACTTCTCGGTGGTGGCGGTGGCGCGTGCGGCCCAGGGGCCGAAGTCGGGAGTGGAGTCGCCCCTGGACTGGGCCGAGGCCCGCGCCTTCGGCGCCCACCTCGGCAGTGCAGGTTGTCCAGATGCCGAGGAGCGCGCGCGGCTCCTCGATGGTCTCTTGGCCCGCGCGCGTGGCACGACGCGGCCCAAGAGTAGTGCGTGAGGCAGGCAGTTGCATTCTGCATGTAGATCTGTTCTCGCCTTGCGGCGCGGCCGCGGTGGAGGCCCAGTGCGGCCCCCGCGGGGAGAGGCGGCCCTAGGCGGCCCCTCTCGGGAGGGCGTGTCTCGGGTGGCGCTCAGCGCCCCTGGAGGCCCCTCGGTCCCTTTTCCTTCCCCCCCCCCCTACGCCTTGAAGGCCCCGTCTTTAATTTTAACTTTAACACGCAGAAGCATGGCAGACGCAGGAGCACGGCATAACACATAGGAGCACGGCAGAGCAGGACCATGGCATAACACACAGGAGCACGGCAGAACACAGGAGCACGGTCCGTAGCCATTTTGGCTCAAGGCCATGGAGCACCCGACGACCGCGGGTCGTCCGCGGCGTTCCGAGCACGAGGGGCTCCTCGCTTTGGGCCAGTGCACTCTGTTGTTCTGCTCCTGGCTTTCGCAGCGCGGAGGCGCGACCGCTCAGCCCGTGCGCCTGGGGCCATGGCGCGCTCCTCGCGTGGCGGCAGCAGTGGCAAGCTCAGCAGGCCGTACTGGATGTGCAGCTGCGGAGGTTGGTACTGGGACTGGCGAGCCTCTTGCTTCAGCTGCGGGTATGCAGCGCCGCCCTGGGCTCTGGGGTCAGCCCCGCCGCGGGGAAGCCCAAGGCCGACAAGGACGGCTGGGTGGACCAGCCGAGGGGGCGCAAAGCCCAGCTGCAGGCCCGCAGCGCTGCCTCGCGAGCGGCATCCGCCAAGTCGCAGACCTCGGCGTCTGCGGCCAGTGGGGCGCCGAGTGGCGGTGGAGTCACGGCTGTCGAGAGGCTGCAGGCGACGGTCGAGCAGCCGGAGGCGCTGCAGGCTGGGCCGCCCGAGGGCGTGGACGGCAGCTTCACCAGCGTCGTGGCCAGCCAGCTGGAGTCGAAGCGGGCAGAGCTGGCCAAGGCCCAGCAGGCAGCAGCGGAGCAGAAGGCCGCCACCATGCCGCGGTCGACGCTGCTGCACAAGAGGCCAACGCCATCAGCAAGTCGGAGAAGCGGCTACGCGCAGCCCGCCAGGACCTGGAGCAGAAGCAGGCGGCGCGCGACCTCGCGGAGGCCCAGCTCCAGAAGGCCCGGGAGGAGCTCGCGGAGCGGGGCGGCGCGCTGGAGGAGGCCAGCAGGGCGCTCCAGGTCCTCGAGGAAGCCGCCCGTGAGGAAGCGGAGGCGCGGGAGCGCCGGCGGGCAGCTGAGTGGGCAGGAGCCAGCCAGGTCCCAGGGCTCCCCACATAGCTGGGCAAGCTGCCAGAGGCCCGGGCCTCCAGCAACTTCGAGGTCGCGTGGGCAGCCATCCGCGCCCAGATGGAGGCGGTGCGAGCGCAGCTCGCTGGGCCCCCCTTGGCCCCCACGCAAGCGCCGCGGGCAGAGTCCTGCCCCGTGGACGAGATCAGCAGCGACGACGGCAACGACGGCAACCTCGCAGGCAGCAGCGGCCCCTGGCAGCCCCAGGCCGCAGCGGAGCGCGGCCAAGCCGAGCGGTATGGCAACGCGCTCGGCGAGTGGCCGCAGGTGGCGCAGGCCTGCAAGCGGGAGCTGGCAGCCGAGGCAGCGAACCTGGCCTTTTTGGCTGCTCGCCCTGCTGGCCACGCAGCTGGGGGCAGGGGCGCAGGAGGCCCGCCAGTGCAAGGCTGCGGCTTCAGGATGCGGGACCAGATGCCTTGGCGCAGGTGCTGGTCCGCCCAGCTCGTTTCCCTGATGGCGACGCCGCAGCTCGCCGACCCCGCGAAGATAGAGCCGTCCAGGTGCCCAGCCGCGTGGAGTGCACTCGCAGGCAGGTGGAGCCCTGCCGTTGGTCCTGGGAGGTGGGCTCCCACCCGAGCGCCCCCAATGAGGCTGCTCGCCAGTGGATCCAAGTAGTCGAGTGCACCTTGGTGGGGATCCATGGCGTCGACGACGGCGACCTACGCAGGTACCTGGGACGGGCCGAAGGGCCCATTGCGGTCCTCATGCCCCTCAGCGCGGCGGTCAAGCACGAGTGCCGCCACCGACACTCGGCCCCCGCCCACGCCATGCGCCAGGCCCTCGACGTAGCGCTGCAGAGGCTCACAGATGGCAGGAGGCGGCGCTGGCAGCCCTCGCGCGGGGCTAGGGATTTGTGGCAGGTGGTGCTTTGCCTAGACGATGTGGAGGCAGCCACCACATCAGCCTGTGAGGAGGACGAGTTCGGGCCCTCGAGTTCGGCACTAGCGAGTGGAGCGACCTCGTTGGCCAAGTTGGAGTACTTGAGCATCTCGAGGCAACGGCAGTGATGGCGGACCTGCTGCAGTCAGCCGAGCTGCCGCGCAGGATGTGTGTTGGGGGGGGGGGGGGTGGAGGCGGCAGCAGCCAGGCGCGCTTGTGGCGCCGCAGGGGGGCGCTGTGCCTCGCCCACCGTAGCAGTGGTGCGGCCCCTGGAGCAGTTCGGCTGGTACCTCGAGTCAGAGCTGTGCAAGGTCGCGGACCCCGGTGACGAGCTCGAGCCCATGTTCCTCGGGCCTCAGGCGCTGAGCATAAAGGATGGGCATGGTGCTCGGCAGGCCCCCAACCGCCATGAGAGGCGGAGGCTCAGCAGCAACCCCCTCCTGCTTCGGCCGTTTCTCGAGAACGCCATCGGGCGGCGGCTCGGGCGGCCAGGCATCGAGCTGGGCGCGAGGGAGCAGCACGTGCGTGGTGCCCACGTCTCCAACATGCACCGGGCGATGCGCAACTGCAGGAGTCGCAAGCCAGCTGACGGCAGGCTCAACGGCAAGCTGTACCTCGATGGCTCGACCAAGGATTGCTAAGGGCCCCCTTCCTGCGGGCGAGCAACGCCAGGCGCAGGCCGCTACGGCCGAGGTGCTTCCGTTGGCTGGAGCGGCCCTCGGCATCGGCGCCCCCGCCAAGCGGCCATGCCTGCAGAGCAGCCGCTCGACGGGGAGCAGCTCGACTACCATCTCGGCCGCTGCTGTCGCTTTCAGCATCCTGGGGCACACGCTCTGCTACGCCCGCGCAGGCGAAGACGCCCAGGAGGTCGTGGCCTGCTCCAGGTGCGGGGCCTACAAGGTGCTGGGCAGCCGCGCAGGAGCCAAGCCTCGCCTGAAGGAGCGGTGCCCAGGGGACAAGACGAGCACGGCGGGCAGGAACCAGCGCAGCCTGTGGGCGCGAGGGCTCCATCCTGGAGGCAGGCCACGAGCGGACAAGCAGAGAGTGAAGGGAGAGGGCATCCCCGCCCTGCGTTCGCAAGGGCCAGTGCCAGGGCACGCCCAGGAGCGCTACCTTGAGTGGTTCGACATGAAGGCGGAGTCTGCAGGCGGTGCCTCGACTGCAGCCAGCAGCGCAGGCAGAGGCCCAGCTGCTCCCGCGGCAGTGCTGGCGGCGGAGGTGGCGGATGCCAGCGTGCCCCTGCAGCAGCCAGCTTCGAAGGGAGCTGAGCGTCTCGGCATGCGCGGAGACACCGAGGGGAGGTTGGCCGCCGCGAGCAGCACGGCGAGCGGCGGCCAGGGGTGAGCCGCAGGGTCAGCCGCCGTCTGGCGCACCGCGGCCCGCCGTCCGTGAGTGAGTGAAGAATAAGCATCGTTTCGCTCGCGGGTGTTGCTCCTCGTGGTGAGTAGGCACGCGTGGCACGCTCTGCTTGGGACTCGGCTTCTTTCGGGAACGGCTGTCCCGTCTGGCCGTGTCCGCGTTCTGGTTGTTTTTTCCTTGTGCCTTGAAGGCCCCGTCTTTAACTTTAACTTTAACACAGGAGCACGGCAGACCACATAGGAGCACGGCAGAACACATAGAACATCTATTCACACAGCCGCACCCGCAGGTATACGCTCATACGGAGGCACACGCACACAGACACACGCACACGCACATGCACACGCACACACAGACACACACACACAGAGACACGCACACACAGAGAGGCAACAGACGTTCACGCCGACCGCACGAGCACGGCAGAGCAGCACGGCATAACACAGCAGTGTCGCAGACCACCACGCACGGACACACATGCTCATATTCCACGCACGCACGCGCACGCGCAAACGCACGCACGCCACAACACATCTGCGCGGCTGGCCAACAAAAGAGCATGCTTCACATACCTCGTCGACAAAAGCGACGCTTCCCATTCTTGTCCGGTCAGGTTTCTCTCCCGGGACTTTTGGAGGCCCAAGAGGGGGCAAATGTTCCAAAGACGTCCATGAGAAGGATTGAGAGGGTTTTAGGATTGGGAGGGTTGGGAGGGGTGGATTCCTCAGGGCTGCCCGAGGGTTCCACGAGTGGGTGAGTCTCCCCGCCCGCCCCGGCTCAGGACAGCCACCAAAACGAAAAGAAGTGGTTCATCGACCAGGCGTACAACAAGAAGTTGTGGGAAGGATGGGTTTGCACTGGTCATGGCGCCAACATCGCAGAGCGGATTTCGTTCGGATTTCAACAATAGGATGGACCCGGAGAGTCCGTTCCAGATTTCGAAGTGAATTTCGTGCGGATTTCTTTTTGCCAGGAATGAAGATTAACAAACGATCCACGTGAAATTCACTTAGTTTTCCGCTCGCCGTTTCGGGTTTTTGCAATAGAACCAGGCAGAAATCCGCTGCAGCACGTCTGCAAGATTGGTGCAGTGACGTCACTGGGGGCGGGGAGGGAAGAGTAGGAGGAGGAGTGGGCGAAGGTGAGAGAAGGGGGAGCACGAGGAGGAAGGAGGGATGGGGACGGAGTTTGAGATGGAGGAGATGCCTTGCGTCGTGCGTCGCTGGCGCCACCGGGACTTGGGCCAGGCTTCCACAGGAAGGGGATCCCAGGGCGGATGGGGAGGACCAGGAATGCCTTGCTGCAGGTAGGGTGGCCCCCGTAGTGCCGTCAGGTTCGCCAAGTCCGCGGGCGCCACGGGCTAGAGAAGGAGGAGGAGGAGAAGGAAGAAAAGGAGGAGGAGGAGAAACAGAAGCAGGGGAGGGAGTCGGACATGGAGGAGGGAAGGGAGGAGGAAGGAGGATAAGGAAGAAGATAAGTGGGAGAAGAGGGAGGAGGAATTGGAGGTAATTGAGCAGCAGGAGTGCTCGGAGTGCTAGCAAGTCTGAGTAGGTAGCGGAGGAGGCGGAGGAGGGATTATGTCGAGGG